GCCTCGAAGCCGCGCCAGTTGCGCGCCTCGTAGTCCAGGATGAGGCTCGCGCAACGCGGCATCCAGCCACCGTGGCCACCCTTGCCACGCGGCGCCCAGCCCGCGTCGGAGCCAGTGCCGCCCTTGTCGGAGCCAGTGCCGCCCTTGTCGGAGCCGCCCTTGCCCTTGTCGGAGCCGCCGCCCTTGCCCTTGTCGGAGCCACCTCCGCCCTTGCCCTTGTCGGAGCCGCCGCCGCCCTTGCCCTTGTCGGAGCCGGCGCTCTGGCCCATGTCGGAGCCAGCGCCCTTGCCCTTGTCGGAGCCAGCGCCCTTGTCGGAGCCGCCGCCGCCCGTGTCGGAGCCAGCGCCCTTGCTGAGCAGCTGCTCGAACGCGTGATGGCCCGACATCACCGACACCCCGTCCGACTCTGACGTCGTCCACCACGGGTAGTGCAGGGGCTGCATGGGCGCGTCCTCGAAGTCGCCGTTCGCCGCGGCCCAGAACAGGATCTTCCCGTCGGTGGCAGCATTCTTCCGACCCTGCACGGTAGTCCACAGCGTGTCCGCAGCGTACCACCCGTCCTCGGCACGGAAGATATAGAAGGTGATCCCCCCCCCTTCGTCGACGACCTTGTCGATCGACTTCCATATCCACCCTCCCGAGAGCTCAACACCTGTGTTGAAATACATGCCAGCCGACATCGACCATGCGCAGCGTGCTCTCCTCGCAATTCTGGAGGAACGTGCTGCACTTATCATAGTCGTCCACAACGACGGCCAACGTGGTGTGCCGAAAGGCGTTGTACTCCAGCAGTCCAACCTGCTCGGCGATCTCGGCGAGGAATGCCGTGTCGCCGTCGTGGTTGGGATGAGGAAAACAAGACATATCGGTTCTCTCGGCCCTCCTCCACGCCTCATCGTCCTCTAGAAAAACCGAGGAAGGAGACGGGGAGAGAAGGACCAAGAGAACCGGATCTGTATATACTGGGTTCCTCATCCCAGCTGGCCTCGCCCGCTGGCGTCAGCCTCAGCCTCGTCGGCGGCGGCATCGACGGCTGCGTCGGGCCGTGCCTGAGGTTGCGCTCAGCCGCGAGGTCCCTGCCGCGGAGCCTGTCCATGGCTGCTGCAGCTGTGCAGCGATGTGGATGCTGCAGCTGTGCAGCGATGTGGCTGCTGCAGCGATGCAGCGATGTGGCTGCTGCAGCTGTGCAGCGATGCCAGGAGGCTGCTGCAGCTATGCAGCGACGTGGCTGCTGCACGGGAGGCCCGCGCGGGCCCGCGCAGGAAGCAGCGCGGCGCGCGCCCTCGCGGCGCCTCCAGCCAAAACGGCTGATGCGGAGGAGGTGCATGGAATATGTGCGGATGAGGTCTGTAAGTCGTTTCTGGATGGGCGAACCTTCTGGACACGCAACGCCGAAGACAGATCCTTTCATATGAGGATCTGTCTTCGGCGTTGCGTATCTGACCTCTGAGGCCCCCGTGTGACATGCCAACCCCCAGCTAGGTCGCGAGAAACTGCGGGGCCACATCGGGGGCTCTAACGGAGGTCGGGGCCCATGACATTCCCAGCTTGATGCGCGACGACTTTATAAGAATGGGGCGAAGTGGAGGGCCAACCTACGAGATGAGCGAGGCGGGCCGCGGGGCAATGGCAAGGACGAGCGAGGGGGCAGAGAGTGCGACTGCACATGCGACACACGCCAATGACCAATGATACCACGACCCGCTGCTACCCTACATCCCTTCCCAGCTCGAACTGCATGTGCTGTTGTTGTTGATGATTCTACGCGGAGGGGGGTGAGGCTAGGGGGCCACCCCATGAGATGAGAGAGAGAGGCCACGGAGCCAGGAGAAGGAGGAGGGAAGGGGGCGAGGATAACGACGGCACATACGAAATGAGACGGCGCCGCAGATGGCGAATCCTCCCCCTCATCCTCCTCCTCCCTCCCCCCATCCCTCCTTGTACTTATCCTCCTTCTCCTCCTCATCGTCCCCTGCCTCGTCCTCATCCTGGCAACTGCTTGTGTTGCATAAGACTTATCCCCCTCATCATCCTCTTCCTCCGTCTTCTGCATCGTCGCCTTCCTCCTCCTCCTGGCAAGTGCGCGCGCAGGCTTGGTCATGTGATTTCTGAGCCCCTCAGAAATCACATGTGCCATTGGTGCCTCCGCCTTCTTCTCCTCCCCCCTCCCTCCCCCCTCCCTCCCGCCCTCCCTCCCCCCCTCCCTCCCTCCTCCTCCTCCTCCTCCTCCTCATTCTACTGCTACTATACTTCCACTAACAATTGGACATACAATACGGCCTGGACATGGGATCGGAAGCGCGTTCACTACATGGTGCAACGACGCATGGGGACGACAGCCAAAGCAACTGCAGGACACATGATGACGACGACATGCAAGAGTTAAGTTCAGCGCGGGGCTGGAACTTCCACGCTCAAGAGATCAGCGTCAACGCTGGGGCCGATAACTGGAAGCGCACGGACGCTCATGGAAGCGCATGCGCTACGCGATATGGATATGGCGCGCCACTCACGCGCTCTGGCGAATGACAGCTCTCGGCTCGCAAAAGCCGTGCTCAAGCGCTGGGCAAGACCTCGGGCAACCCCGTGATGCGCTGCAGCCTGCCGAGCTGCGTCGATCTGGCCTGCGAGCCCACGGCGCAGGCGCCGACCCACAGCCGCCTGACATCGATGAACACCTTCCTCGCGTGCTTGTTCTGCTCCGACTTGTTTGCCACGACAGCGACGAATCGCTCGAGCCCGAGGGCTTTTTCCTTCCAAAAATCACGGCCCTTCTTCCAGGCACTGATCTTCTCCTTCAAGCGGTCGGCCTCGGTGCCCCCGCCGGCAGCGACAACGACGCCAGCTGGAGCGCGCCTCTTCGGAGCCATATCGGGCCTCGGGGCCTCGAAAGTCAGTGCGCGAGCAAGCGGGAAGCTATCGAGCGCGCGCGCGCGCTGAATCCTGAGCCTGATGGGCTACGGACACGCGCCCATGCAGCCGCGCGGCTTGACGTGCCCAGATGCAGTCCGATGACTTTTTCAAACGACACAGCACGGACCCATGTAGAATTGCGAAGCCCGCAGACCCCAATCATGCGGGCATGTTTAGCCACGTGGCTCACAACTAATTCAGCCATGTCCTGGCTCTGAGCCCGCAGGCGCGCCGTCGTCGGGAAGCTCACTCGGGGAAACCTCTTCACCCTTACAAGCATCGCCGACATGTTCTGAGGGATCGGTAGATAGGAACGTAACCGCATCTTCGATTGTCTTACACTTCCTGTAGCCGTTCGTGCCATCCCCCTTATCAAACTTGGCGAGGAAAAAACCGTTCCTCTTGTGGACAGTCTTGGGCATCGGCTCTCGCTTCTGCGGTTCATCGAACCCCTGTTCCCTCATGATGTGTATCGCCGCGGCCAAAGCATCGGGCTTATACACTACAAAGAGGTTGTCACACGGATGGATAGGCCTCAGAACATCAACTTGAACAGAACGTCCTTTAACTTCCACGTCCAAGCACATGACCTCAGGATCCCGCCTCATGCCAGCCTTATGGGCATGGGACTTGACGATTGTTTGTTGTTTCGGTGGCGTTTTAAACAAGCTGCACACGCGCTGCTCCTGCTCCTGAGTGAAGTCACCCGACTGCTGCTGATTCCGCTGGGCTAGCAACGCCTTCAGCCCCCTGCTCAAGATTACGGCCTGTTGTTCCAGTCCCGATGGGACCCCATCATTAGCATAAGCCACAAGGCTGTTCAATGTATACTGCGCTGGTGAGATTCGGACAAACGTATCGCCACCCACTGTAGTCACATCATGCGGCTTGAAAATCAGCCAAACTGGCTTGAGTCCATCCACCTTGACAGTTCGAGAAAGTTCAAGCGTAGCTGCCTGCATATTGCTAAGAGCAAACCGTGATGCTAGACGCTCGGTTGCCCCTGAGCCTGCGCGGCTACGGTTACTTCGCAGAAGCGCGACACGCAGGGGGCAACGTCATACGGGGCCAGGAGACGAATGAGAGGGGGCATGGGGGTGCACGGGGGGTATATAGCGCGCTGGGGTTCACGAGAGGGGGTGCACGGGGTGCACGGGAAGGTTTGGGAGGGGGTGGTACGCGGCATGTACTACCCCCCATATACACCACCCGGATACCCCCATGCCCACCTCCCGTGCCCCTTGTACCCTATACCCCACCTCCCGTGTACCCCCCGCTTCCCGTGTACTTCCTACCTTGTATACCTTCTTCATTCCCTCCTTCATCCTGCCCAGCCCCCCTGCGTGCATTCCGCGTTTCCATCTCGTTCTTCCCCGCTTGGTCGTTCCAGCCTAAACATTGCTGAGGGGGGTGGGGGGAAGGGGGGGGGGGGGGGGGGGCGGGGGGGGGGGGGGGGGGCGAGGGGGGGGGGGTTGTGTGGGGCGAGGGGCGGGGGGTGGGGGGAGGTGGGGGGGGGGAAAGGGGGGGGGGGGAAGGTACAGGGTGCATCAGGCAGATGGTTGCACGACGAAGGTCGACAGGCGATGCCCCCCAAGCCCGATGCAAAGTCAGAAGCGTGCTTCGCTGCACCCGAGCAAATGAGAACACGCAATCGCATCTACACCTTGCTAAATCTCGCCATCCCCCCCCCTCCTCCTACATGGCCATTGCTGCCCCCTGAAGCTCCAGAATGGGGCGGCATCGGGCGCAGCCGATTCGAACTGAGTTTGTTTCTGACGTCGCTGGCGTGACGGCTACTCGCAAGAACACCACATCAATTGCCTTATAAGCGCCTGGCTGATCTGCATGCCCGTTAGCACGTATCAACGTAGAAAGCTTCGTGTTGGCCGACGGGGACAGCTCGCCCAGCCCCCAATCCTCGTCTCATGCCATCCTTCTCCCTCCCCCCGTCCCCCATCCACGGCGCGGCAACAGATGGACTGTAGCACTGCAGAGTGCTGGACTGGTTCAATCGTAGAGCTTAGGATAACACAACGCGTGCGATGCAAAACACACCCCTGATGTAGCATCCGCGCTGCATGCGATGCTTACGACCTCTTCTGCTTCTTGGCGCTCTCCTCGTGGATCGGCACAGCCTTAGCCTTGGGCTTGACGAATACCTGGAGCTTTACGTTCGGCCCGATGTCGGTAATATTGGTCAGCACTGGCAGCATGATGCCACCGTGGGACACGTGGCTCGTAGCCATGTTGGCTTGCTTCTTATCGTATGTTGTCGCGACCCACCAGTACGCAGCCACGAACGCGGCTTCATCGAACTTGCTGGTGCCGTTGTCGCTCGGCTTCGGCACAGGCAAAACAAAAAAAAATGAAGCGGCGTGCCGCTGCCAATCGTGTGGTCGCCAAGCGGCACGCCCGACCCATTAGACGCGTTCTTCGAGCTTATGTTGACCAACGGTGCCACTGGGACCAGTGTAAGCTGCCCCTGCTTGATCGCACACGTGGTCCGAACCTCATCTGGCTTCCGCCAGAAGATTAGCGTTTGTTTTCCCATGTGCTTGGCGTCTAGCTCGAGAAGAGCTCGGTCCAATATAGCCTTTTGCTTGTCGATGTACAACCGACGGGGCCGCTGCTGATCACCCTCCATCTGCTTTGGCGGCTCAGCTTTTGAGAGCGACCACTTACCAAGGAGACCTTCCAATGCAATTTCAGCCGCGCGTGGCTCTCCGCCGTGGTTGACCACCTCGTGAAGCTTGACCATATGGCCGATGCTGAAGACAGCGTAAAGCCTCTGGGCTGGAACATCCTTCTGAACTACGAAGGACCCGACCGAGTAACCAGCCTTCTTGGCAATCCACGCAGGGTCCTTATGGTCGTTGAGCGTCGCCGTGGCAGGCGCTGCAGGCATTGCCTTGGCAGTTGCAGCTGCACCGCTCGAGACCGAATACTTATTCCACTCATCGAACGTGAAGGTCTGACCCTTGATGGAGCTGACACCGCTCAAGAATGATTTGCACACGTCGCCCCACGTGCACGCGACCCCCTCCCGACCCGACTTCTCTTCCCCCACAAGCTTCAAAGCAACCCTCACGAATAGTTGCCCTAACGGCTCCAAGGCCGCCTCGATGCCGTCGAGCCCCTTTGCGATATCCATGGCCTCTCCAAGTATGCGTTCAGCAATCAGTGCTTCAGCCTGCTTAGGCTTGCCTGCAACCTTCGAGACGTCAGCCTTCATCAGCAAACGCGCCGCGCCGTCCTCAACCTTGTCGCCAGTGAGGTTTGCGATAGCAAGCGACACCCGCACCAACGGATGCAAATTGGTTTTGGACGCAAACGTTGCGTGAGTCAGCGCTTCCCAAAAACTTTGTCCAAGCGTAACATTGCAACCAAATTGCTTTGCAACCGAATCCATGAACGCCACGAGTGGAGCACCGTCGCCACCGCCGAAATTCTCGACAAACTCAAGCAATGTCTTGCTGTACTTCGCGCTCGGCACGTTAAGCGAAACAACGCTCTCGATTGCCAACTCTTTCCAGCTCTCGAGCTCGCGCATCCCTGGGTCATTGGCACTCGCCGCTAACGTCATGCAAGTCTCAAGCTCCCCAACCTCAGTGCCGACGTGATTCTGCGTGTTCAAAGCCCTCTGGGCAATGACAGCGAAGCGTGGGAATAGCTCGTCGATCACATTGGGGACCACCTCCCACTTCCAGCCCTTCTCAATCATGAGTTTGAATTGCTCGTTTTGGAACAGCTTTTGCAAATCTATCATGTCTGAGTCAATGCATTGCAATGACTTTTGAGACGTCTTGCCCTGGACCCCTGCCTGCTTACAGAAAGCCGCGGTGCGCCCGCGCCCGACTGTCACGCAGCGCTCTGACCCATTCACAGGCGCTAGAAGCCCTTGGGCTCGATCCACCAGCTGCTTATTTTTACTGATGTGCGTCCAGCGGAGGGGGGAAGTGACCCCGAGCTCGATGCACAGAGCATTGGATAGCTGGCGAATGTCAGCTCCGCACGCGTGGATCCTAGCAGCATTGCGGTGCACGTTATGCGGGCTCAGCAAAAGCCCCCCCTATTGACCGCATGCGTGAAGAAAAACTTCGGGGGAATGTGGCCCACTGTGTAAGCCAGCTTGCGCCCGCGAAGGCATTGCATAAGCTTATCCAAATGCTCATTCGCCTTCATTTTCTTCATGTCCAAAATCTTCTGGAACTCCTGTTTGAAAGCTTGGCTAAGCTCGGCCATTGCACACGCGGTAGCTGAGCACGTAAATGAGCAGCTCTGGAAAAGCACAGCTGATGCTATGAGCCGATGCGGCTGCAAACGACAGGAGGCAAATGCAAGTGCAATGGTCAACGTATACATCGCAAGTAAAGCGTTCCAGGCCCCCCAACTATAGTGGATTGCGTGCCCCCCCCCCCCCACTCTTATCCGCAAATTCGGAGCCCACGCTTGTTAAAACAATGATGATGGCGTGCGCCATGGCGGTTGCTATTGAATCCGCCGAACGGGCCCTGGAGCGATTCGCGCGGTGATCCCGAAGCTGCAATATGGATTAGCAAACATAAGAATCACGCGGGACACAATTCGACTGCCCGAATGATGGGACGTGCAAACAAGGTTGGTCCAATCTCGATGCTCAAACCCTGACAGATGTGCGACGTTGATTCGTGTTTTTGCGTTTGTGGCCCAGCATGGGTTTCATGCTTGTAACGCTTCGGAAGCTACATGTTATTGTGTTGGAAGCTACATGTTAAACACGAAAACGCACATATTGAATATGTGAAAAACTGATTTCTTAGGTGTTAGCATAGGTCGAATTTCGATGCTAAGCCAAATTATTTATGTTAACCTACGATAACCATTTATGTTTGGCATTCGATAAACAGTTTAGCACATATACCATGAAAAGCTATGTTGAACCAATAACCTACTTAACAACAGCTGAACCTCTACTACTGTTCATGTTGGCTTATTAAAGTCCACATGGACTTTAGCTAACTATGACAAACAAGCTACGTAGCTATAGCATCATGCTGCTGGCTTACAAGTGGGTTGGGCGTAGCCTACAACCACCTTATCATATCCTTATAAAGCTCATAAGCTGTACCAGAGCCGACATTCATCTCAGTAGCCCGGGAGGGTGGGCCCGGGAGGGTGGCCCGAGAGGGTGAGCCCGGGAGGGTGGGGCCCGGGAGAGTGGCCCGGGAGGGTGGCCGGGGAGGGTCCCCGAGGCATGGGGCCCGGGAGGGTGGCCCGGGAGGGTGGCCCGGGAGGGTGGCCCGGGAGGGTGGCCCGGGAGGGTGGCCCGGGAGGGTGGGCCCGGGAGGGTGGGCCCGGGAGGGTGGGCCCGGGAGGGTGGGCCCGGGAGGGTGGGCCCGGGAGGGTGCCCCGGGAGGTACTGGCCCGGGAGGGTGGCCGAAGAGGGTGGCTCGGGAGGGTGGCCCGGGAGGATCTCAAGGGTAGGGCCTGGGAGGGTGGCCTGGGAGGGTGGCCCGGGAGGGTGGCCCGGGAGGGTGGCCCGGGAGGGTCCGGGAGGGTGGCCCGGGAGGGTGGCCCGGGAGGGTGGCCCGGGAGGGTGGCCCGGGAGAGTGAGCCCCGGAGGGTGGCCCGGGAGAGTGGCCCGGGAGAGTGGCCCGGGAGGGTGGCCGGGGAGGGTCCCCGAGGGTGGGGCCCGGGAGGGTGGCCCGGGAGGGTGGGCCCGGGAGGGTGGCCCTGGGAGGGTGGGCCCGGGAAGGTGGGAGGGTCCCGGGACCGGGAGCTCCTCGAGGGCGGGGGGGCGCCCGGGAGAGTAGCCTGGGAGAGTTCCCGGGGATGGGACCCGGGAAAGCCCCCGAGGGCGGGGAGGGGGTTCGGGAGGGTGGCCCGGGAGGGTCCCCCAGGGTGGGCCCGCGCAAGCGCGACGGGAGGAGGAGGAGGGAGGGTGAGAAGAGAGGGGGGAGGAGGGACGGAGGGAGGACGGCCACGAAGGGGAGTGCCCACGCCGGGGGGGTCCGGGGGCCGCGATCCAGTCGCGCGATCCGGTTCGCGATTCGATTCGACAGGGTCGCGATCCGGTCCGCAATTCGATTTGGCGAGGTCGCGATCCGGTTCCCGGTTCGATTCGCCTGCGGTTCGCAGCGATCCGGTTCCAGGCGATGCGATTACGATTTCCCGACGGGGGCGCGCGGGCCCTCCCTGCCCGGCCTGCAGAGCTGCACTGGATGGGCGACACAGCATCGGCCAAGGTTGACGCGCGGGGCCCTGGCGGGGGCTGGCGCTGCACTCGCCATGGCCCGGCGGCAGGGCCGGCAGGGCTGTGGCTGGGGGACAACCAGCATCGGCGACGAGGGCCGCGGGCCATGGCTGGGGGGCGCTGCGGCGCTGCCCTCCCTGCCCGGCCTGCAGGAGCTGCATGGGCCTGACCGACAACAGCATCGGCGACGAGGGCGCGCGGGCCCTGGCGGGGGCGCTGCCCTCCCTGCCCGGCCTGCAGGAGCTGCGCCGGGGCGGCAACAGAGGTCCGCACGAGATTCGATCCGGGTCGGTTCGATTCGGCGAATCGCATCGCGGCGAATGCCGATCCGATGCTGGAGGCCCCCTGCAACGATCTGGTTTGCGATTCGATTCGGTTGCCGAGCGATTCGATTGCGATCCGGTGCAGAGCGGGCGACGATCCGGTTCGCGATTCGATTTGGATCCCGCGGAGCAGACGCCCGCTTGCTGCGCGAGAGGCCGCCAGGCTAAAGAAAAGGAGGTGGAAGGGGAGGAGGTGGACAGCGAGCTGCCCGGACAGGGGGGGACCGGGAGGGTCCGGGGCCGGACCGGGGGCCCTCGTCGCCGCCGGGGCCGTCGTCGTCGTCGTCGTCGTCGTCGTCGTCGTCGTCGTCGTCGTCGTCGTCGTCGTCGTCGTCGTCCTCGGGGGACCGGGCGGGGGCCCCCAGTTCAGCGTTCTGACAAGGACTCGGCGACGAGCGGCCCCGCAATGCGCGAAACGCCGCCGCCGCCGTCGTCGCCGCCGCCGTCGAGGGATGAGGACCGTGGTTCGGCCTCCGGCTTTTCGGCTGTTTTGGGCTCTCGGGGCGTCTGCCGCCTCGCCTCCCTATGTTCCATGGGCTGCCGCCGACGACGACGACAGCGACGACGACGACGACGACGACGACGACGACGACGACGACGACGACGACGACGACGACGACGACGAGGGGAGGGTGGCCCGGGAAGGTCCCCCAGGGGCGCCCGGGAGGGTGGGCCTGGGAGGGTGGCCCAGGAGGGTGGGCCCGGGAGGGTGGCCCGGGAGGGTGGGCCCGGGAGGGTGGTGGCCCGGGAGGGTGGCCCGGAGGGGTTCCCGAGGGTGGGTGGCCGAGGGTGGGGCCCGGGAAGGTGGCCCAGGAGGGTGGGCCCGGGAGGGTGGGCCCGGGAGGGTGGGCCCGGGAGGGTGTGCCCGGGGGGACCGACGGTGGCCCGGGAGGGTGGGCCCGGGAGGGTGGGCCCGGAAGGGTGGCCCGGGAGGGTGGCCCGGGAAGGTGGCCCGGGAGGGTGGGCCCGGGAGGGTGGGCCCGGGAGGGTGGGCCCAAGAGGGTAGGCCCGGGAGGGTGGGCCCGGGAGGGTGGCCCGGGAGGGTGGCCCGGAGAGTGGGCCCGGGAGGGTGGCCCGGGAGAGTGGCCCGGGAGGATGGCTCGGGAGGGTGGCCCGGGAGGATAGGCCTGGGAGGGTGGCCCGGGAGGGTGTCTCGGTGGCTCGGGGGGGTGGCCCGGGAGGGTGGCCCGGGAGGGTGGCCCGGGGGGGTTGTCCGGGAGGGTGGCTCGGGAGAGTGGGCTCGGGAGAGTGGCCCGGGAGGGTGGCCCGGTGGCCCGGGAGGGTGGCCCGGGAGGGTGGGCTCGGAAGGGTGGCCCGGGAGGGTGGCCCGAGGATGGGGCCCGGGAGGGTGGCCCGGGAGGGTGGCCCGGGAGGGTGCCCGGGTGGGTGGCGTGGACCGACAGTGGCCCGGGAGGGTGGGCCCGGGAGGGTGGGCCCGGAAGGGTGGCCCGGGAGGGTGGCCCGGGAGGGTGGCCCGGGAAGGTGGCCCAGGAGGGTGGGCCCGGGAGGGTGGGCCCGGGAGGGTGGCCCGGGAGGGTGGCCCGGGAGGGTAGGCCCGGGAGGGTGGCCCGGGAGGGTGGA